AGAAAAATTACATTACGCTATATCTTGGTTAAAAAACGGTTGGAACATATACCCTTTGTAACACTTTTCGTTCTGTCACTATTTTTTTTGTATTGTTTTTTGTTCATGGCAATATTTCCTTTTTTGTGATGTTTTTGTTGTCTTGTACATGACTGCAGTCCCCAAAATATGTGATACCTTACTCCGCATGACGTCATACCCCCACCTCCGAAGAATCCCGCGCTCCGCTTCCCCTCGCCTACGAGTATCCCCCGCGCCCCGCGCTCTCCTCAGAGGACCCGAATTAGAACTCGCCTAGTATACCTACTAATACTCTATAAAACATTAACACAAAAAAGATCATATTGACACAATTTCCAAACAAAATGTTGAAGCATATTTTCCACTATAATTAACATATTTGATGTTAAATTAACACATTTTTAGTCATTTATCTTACAATATATATTTTAAAACACTTTTTATATTATTTGGTCATTTATTCATAAATTGTGTTATTATAACATTAAGAAATGTTGAATATCAATTAATATAAAATATTTAAATAACATAAACAAATCATCTCTGATAGCAAAATGTTAGCAGTTTGCGCGCAAATTGGCAGCAAACTCAATCAGATTTTGATTACAAAACCATTGCCATCTTTCCACATCATGTCCACATTTGGCTACGAAGTTGTTGACAAAACTTGTGGACATGTTTTGTTAGCAGATTGGTAACAAAAATCGAGCAATTTGCTGACATAATTTGACAGCAGATTGGCAGCAAAAATCGAACAAAGTCTGCTGTCAAGTTCTGTCAGTAGATTTTGTTGGATTTATATTCTCAATCTATCATCAAACTCTGTAGCAAATTCTGTTTGGTTTCTACCAATTTGCTGACATAGCATGTTAGCAGGCTGTGTTGTATTTCTGATAGCAATTTGCAGGCAATATCAGATAATATAATATAAATTGTGTACAATTTGCTGCCTTTCTGCAATCAAAGATTGATAGCAAGCTTTGTTCGAAATCTGTTTCCGTAGGCTTTGCTATCAGGAATGTTAATTTAACATTCAAATATGTTATAAATTGAAAACAAAATTTTAACAAGACTTGAGTGGACGATTTCCAAAACAAATACAAAATTTTTTACCACGCTGTCGGCAGCGCGGATGCAGTATATCCTGGTGCAGGTGACGCGGATGTACATCTTGATGCAGGTGGCGCGAGTATATATCCTGATACAGGCGGCATCTTGATCAAAAAGTTCCCGGAATTACCACCAGGTGATGCTCTGAGTCAGCTGATTTCAGTTCTGTGTTTTTTGGTTAGGTTGCCACATCTATCATTGACATTTCCACCAAATTTTATCGCCATAGCTTGACATTTGTAAAAGTTACGCCGTCTTGAGTACATCTGCCTCTGCACGTGTTTTCGATTTTTTACAGTTTTAAAAATGGAGTTGAATTTGCAACAACGAGTTTGTATTAAATTTTTTGATCAAGAACGAAACGAATACCATCCAACAGGCATCGAATTCACCCGATATGGCTCCCTGCGATTTTTTTCTGTTCGATCGAGTCAAAAAACCACTACGGGGAATGCGTTTTAACAGCCGAAAGGAGGTAATATTGTAGAAAAATCGAAGACGGCTCTGATGGCTATACCGACAATAGAGTTCCAAAAATGTTTCGAGAGCTGGATCAAGCGCTGGCATAAGTGCGTTGCAGTCGATGGGGAGTACTTTGAAGGGGATAATACCACTTTTGATGAATAAACTTGTATTTTGAATTTTCTGAACGAATTCCGGGAACTTTTTGATCAAGGTATCTTGATACAGGCAGCGCGAGTGTATATCCTAATGCAGGCGGTGCAGATGTATATCTTGGTGCAGGCGGCGTGGGTGTATATCTTGCGGATGGCAAATTTTTTTTTCTTTTTGTATTGCCCGCCGTAACATGTTCTTCAATTGCTAAAAATAAAAACAAATAAAAACAAATTAACATAATATTATGTATGGTGCGTGCGTGTGTGTGTGGGTGGGTGTGTGTGTGTGTGTGTGCGTGTGGTTGGGTGGGTGGGTGGTGTGGGTGGGTGTTTCTCTGTGTCCATACATGCATGCATGCATGCATGCGTGCGTGTTTTTGTATTATTTTACTTACTTTGAGTGTTATTGGCGCCGGATATCGTGGCGCGCGTACATATCCTGGTGCTGACGGTACGGACGTATATCTTGGCTGTGACGTGAATGTATGCCCTGGCGCAGATGTATTTTCTGGCGCTGATGCCGTGGATGTATATCCTGGCGCCAATGTATGTCCTGGCGCAGATTTCGCACATATATGCCCTAGCGGGGATGTATGTCCTGGCGCGGATGCCATGAGTGTATGTCCTGGCGCAGATGTATTTCCAGACGCGAGTGCCGTGAATGTATGTTGTGGCGCGGATACCACGAACGTATATCCTGATGCGGATGTATTTCCTGGCGCTGATGTCGTGGATGTATATCCTGGCGCCAATGTATGTCTTGGCGCAGATTCCGTGGATGTATGCCCTGGCGGGGATGTGTCCTGGCGCGAATGCCATGAGTGTATGTCCTGGCGCAGATGTATTTCCAGGTGCAGATGCCATGGATGTATATCCTGGTGCGGATTCCGCAGATGTATGCCCTGGCGCTAATGTATGTCCTGGCGTGGATGTATGCTCTGACGCGGATGTATGCCCTGGCGCGGATGTATGCTCTGACGCGGACATATGTTTTAATGCAGATGTGTTTTCTGCTATTCTCTTCGGACAAGATACAGGTTCACTTTTTGCTGTAATTAAAAAATAATAAAATAGATGAGTCAATATAATTTTTTTTTTCATAAAAAATGTTCCGTGTACTTTGCCAGATTCTCCGAACGAAATAATGTGCAACATTTCATCGTCGTACTGAGTTTATATAGTTATATACAGTATCACACTCGTTTATGAGTATATATTACATTTCAGTATAGAAGTTAGTATTATATACAGGGTGTTTCCAAATTAAATGGCAAAACTTCGGGAGCGTGTAGAGGAGTAAAAAACTAAGAAAAAAAGTCCTATAGACATATGCTCCTTTTTGCTTTGTTTCGCAGGAAATCACGAAAAAAGAAAAAAATATAT